AATCCCCTCGTACGTCTGTGATGTCAGGCAGCACAAGAGTTCGGTTGTAGTTTTCAGTTACTTCACTGCAACTCAGGAGGTAGACTGTGTTTGGGCAAACCACCGTGTCACGTGTACTCCTGCTTTGAGACTGACCTTGTGCAAACACACTAGCCTCATTCAAGAGGGAGCAACTGTAAGCACATACACGCACACGCCAAAGAGCAAGGGGTGGAAGCACACAGCCCATTGTAATAAGTTAATAATCCACGTAACTACAGAGCACTTCACTTGCTGCTTCAAAGGGCTTTTGACTATCAAATCCATTTTACATTCCATAGCACTGCCTGTATCTGGGTCTCCATTTACATATCTGAATAATGAACAAACTCGTCTGTCTAATTAAATCCAGAGGCGCTCCTCAGTCACCAAAAAAGGCTTTTCAGAGCCAGATAATGTGTACAGTAGAGCACAAACTGTCCAGTTTGGGGCTTCGAATTAATGTCCGCCATAACCATCGTTAAAATGCTGGTAGGTTAAACTAGGTTACAAAAATCGAGAAGTGCATGCCTAGCCCAAGCGTCAGAAATATTGTGCCACGTGCCGCAGAACGCGATGTCAAAATCACGGCGCAACAGAGTAAGCTTGAAACATCATTGGGGTGAGGGGAGGTAGACACCATGGAAGAGCGACACAGAGTAATAATAAACAATGATCAAATGTGTAGTGTTGCATAAATACATAGGAGGCTTTATGGGCAGCCCCCAGCAGACTGGGCCTATTACAGCGTAACTAAAGGTCACAGACTCGTCAGCCTGTAAGCTTTATCAAAAAGGAAAGTTTTAAGCCTAATCTTAAGCACAGAGACTGTCTCCCAAATCCAAACAGCTGGTTTCACAGGAGGACCAGCTCTCAGGTTCTGGAAGCTGAACGCTCTGCCTCCCACTCTACCTTTAAACATCCAAGGAATCAATAGTAAGCCAGCGGTTCGAGAGTAAATAGCTCTATTGGTGGTGACATGGCCCCATGAGGTCTTTGAGATGAGATGGGGTCTGATTTTTCAAGACCTTGTATGTGAGGAGAGGTATTTTAAACTAGATTCTGGATTTAACAGGGAGTCAATGAAGAGAAACTAATATGGGAGAAATCTGCTCTCTTTCTAGTCCCTGTTGGTACTCTTGCTGCACCATTTTTGATCAACTGGAGGCTTTTTAGGAAGTTGTTAGAAAACCTGATAATAATGAATTAGTATCCTGGCATTTTTGACCAGTTACCCAGCAGACAGTGTTGGTGTCTGCTGGGTAATGTTGTGTGACAGCCGGAGGAGGCAAAGACGGCATTCTTGGTATCAATACTGTTGCAAATGAGTATCTAATGTAATAGTAATTTTTATTATCAACTTCTGATTCAACCTTATATAAATAACCCTAGCTGTAACACTACGGGATCTCTTCAATTGATTTCCATCAGTCTGTGGTGAAACGTATGGCACCGCGCAGTAGGGGCTCATGTATCAGATTCCATGTCTGTCTTTTATCCCTCCTCTCAGGGTTTGCAACACCAGCATATAGTCCTTAATCTTGGTGCATCTGTTGGCCCACAAAGCTCCATTAAACAGCCGGACCACTCCGATAAGGTTATTGACTTAATGCTCAGTGACATAATTAAATTGAGTATTTAATCTGGCCACTGGAGTGGAGGAGCCCCCGACCCCCGCCAGACAAGAAGAGTGTTCATATCTTGCTGCCATTACAAATAATTTCTACTCTGATCGCTATTGAGGTGACCAGACTGGCTGAGAGTTGTCCTTTCCTGTCATCTGCAATAAAAACTAGAGCTGTGCCATATCATGCCTACATGCCTGAGAGCCCTGTGTCAGCCTCTAATCACAATTCAGTACCTAAAAGAGAGCCTCAAACAAAGCACTGTAGTCTGCAAACTATGTGAGAAGGTGGAAGCCATAAATATGTTTCACCACTTCAGGCAAAAATACGCCATCAAATACAACCAGGTTACAAAGGAGAAGATACTAGCAGGTGGTGATGTGTGACCAAAATGACTGACTCAAATGAGCATCACTGGAATAATCGCTAGTTCCACTCCACACGACAGGAAGAGCAAACGGTAGATGGAAATTACTGATACATAAGTGGAAAACCAAAACTTTAAGCAGATTATTAAAAGCTTCACCTACAATCCCAGTCAGAAATATTTTACAAGGTTACTTTAGCCACTGTTAAAGTGTTAAGCAGTTATTTTTCACTTAAAATGTCCAGGAGAAAAACTGGCTAGACTACTTTTGTGCTTACAGTTGACTTCAGTGGGAAATCTACGTTGTCCCTTCGACCGTAGCTGGAAACCCCTCTTAACCCTCCACTCAACCTGACGTGCACTACCCAAGAAAATTAACTATAGGTTGGGTCAATGCAACCTGCAACGATGTCCGTGAGCGTGGTGGTTTTTCCTTTATTTATTATTTTTCCAAACGGTGCAGACAATTTACATTACAATGCATCTACTATGCTGACCAGGCGTCAGACTTCAAGCGGATGTCAAAAAAGTGTAACAGGAAGGACGACTCGGCCAACAGGTTTCCAGCAGAGTATAATCTAGGCTTAACCTTCAAGCTGTGACAAGGCTGGCAATACAGAGGTGACAAAGGAGGCAGAGTATAAACTTCCTCCTCTTTTTCTACATTTTTCACAACCAAGACTTCAAAGAGAAAACGATCTGAAAATGTCTCCCTTTATCCCATCTTTAAACTAAAATTACACCTTCCCCCTGCCTTCCTTTAACCTGTAAACATTTGCTGATTTCAGGCATACCCCAACAATAACCACTTGGTACCTTTTAGAGAAAACGTCACACTTTCCGTACAGTATTCACAGATGCTTCATCAACGCCTAAACGGATGAGCTGCTGCTGTGAACAGCCATCCACAGTTCATCAAACCTTCATCCGGCCTTGAATTCTCCCCACCTGTTCATTACAAGAATGACAGCAGACACCAACCGATACAAAGCTGCTCCTTTATCTCGTAAGGCAGTGTTTGCCTTCACTTCAGCTCATGACACCACCTGACAATGGTTTGCTGTGAGGATATTGGTTTTGACACCACATGCTCCTCCATTTGCCAAAACGAGAGCATTCAACACCCAGCCCCCATCACCTTTTGACCTCTGGCACCTTGCCTGTGAGAGAGTTTGTGAGGTGAGTGTTGTTTATTAGAGAGGCACTTAACAACCTCTGTTGCTACAAATCCTGGCTGTTGAATGCTGACATCTTTCAAGGCGCTTACCAATTAATACTTAAGTCAGTCCTGTTATGCATGAGACCTGTTCAGTTATACCGAGAAATCAAGTTAAAAAGCTGTAGGTACAGAAAAGTAGGAGCACACTTGCTACTATACTGTTAGAATGAAACATCTGAAGAAAATGGCAACCAAGCACTGATATTTTCATGTAAAGTTTTCTCCTGTGCATATTCTAAACTAAAATTACTGCAACAATAAATAGCTGTTCATTTATCTTGCACCTTTTTAAAACTCCAATTTTCTTCCATTTTTGGCCGCTGGAGGTCGAGCATTTATACCCCATAAGGACCCCATAATGAGGACATTTACAAGCTCATTTCACAAGACCAGAAAGCTCCGTTTCCTGCTGACTGACTGTATCCATGTACAAGCACGAAAACATGTCAGCTACTGGTTTTGCTGGTCAACAGCATTTCACTCAGGGACAATGAAAATACGTGCCCCACTTAAGTCAGCCAGACCCTACTTTAGCTGTTCTAATACCAACACATGATGAAAGAACTATACAAAGACTGCAAGAAGTGACGAGTTTTATCAGATGGGGAAAAAAAGAGAAAAACAAAACTTTGTTGACTCAGTCAGCTGGACTACACCAGAGTCTGAACTAAAGTCCATGTTTGGTTGTTGTTTTGCTGTAACGCCCTGCATCGCTGCAGCCTCTGGCTTTCACAATTTAGCTGCTTGAAAACCTGAAGAAAGACTGCCAGTCACTTTTTATTTCAAGATGCTAACAGCAACAAGCAGCTCATGATGGTTCTCCCAGCCTTGGCAACACTCTGAAATACATGAGCAATTATTGCCATTATAATTAGGAGGATCATAATAAACCTTCAGCTCTGTGATGAGGCAATAAAAGACACTACACAAGAAAGGCCGAGCATGATCCATGGTCACACACTCACAGTCCCTCTTTTGGAGAGCCCCCGTGACACCTGTACCAGAGTGTACATTAATATCATAATGACATTTTACACAAGCAGCTACAAACTAACACAGACCCAGATCCGACCTTTGCCTTTAAAGAATATCATTAATAGATGAGGACAAGATCTCTCTCTTCTGGTTTTCCGATTAAAAGCCTCTCCAGGCAACACTTTCGCGTTGAGAACAAACTGTTGTCTTATGATGGGATTAAATATTTTTATGCTGGTTTGGGCTCAAAACTGACTCTGACATTTTATTTTGAAAAACTAAATTTGTTTCGTCAATGAAAAAGAAATTCTGTTGTTTTGTTTTTTTTGTTTTTTTTTTTAAATCAACGGACCGAACACTCAACAGATAAAAAAAATAAAAGGGGGGTGACTTTAAAAAAAAAAATTATATTTGCACTCAAGTAATAAAATAAAAAAAGAAAAGACGCATAATGTCCCATAAAAAGCAAGGAGTGGAGCAGCGGTTCCTGGAGGACGTGTACGGAGTGAGTTCACTTCAACGCTAGCTAACCCAACTCTCATCAACCTGCTCCAACTGCTCCACCACTAATAGCGAAAAGTCTGTAAATAACCAATAAGGAGCACGTGTGTGTGGATTTGTGTGAAATCCACATAAATATTGGTAAATAAAGGTTTTCACCCATTTCCCCGACATTACTGATCACAAGGCAGAAGTTTGAACACTTAGAGGAAAACAAGTGGAAAAAAAAATGCCAGTTTGATTTCAATGGGACAGATTTTCAGAGACTCACAGCACAGCCCTCACCCACACTCACCGTGCTCTGTGTACAACTCTTCGGTCACTCAGCTCTGGTTTACTCCTCCTTACAGCGAAGTTTTAGTAAAGTATCCAATTTTTCCGCAGCCGGTGCTTGTGCAGACAAATTAGCGGGCAAGAAAGCGAATCCTCCTCGATATTCCTGCCGCTCAGTCCATGCTTGGAAATTTCCTGTCAGGCGTCCAACTTTCACAACTTTACACACCTAATTTACCGATGAAAAACAGCGTGGTTACTCCATGTAGCAAAAAAAAAGTTTCTCCTGGTTCTCTGCTTGGTTTCATTCAGCAGCTCTCTGCCGCCACATGCGCCCTGTAAGCAACAGTGAGAATACTTCGCTCAGCGCCCAGCTCTCCACAGGCGTAAAAAGGGGGCTGGCGAAGGGAGGATACATGACGCTCCCTTCAAGTGCTCCTCGTATTTTACATAACCACGTGCGAACGTAAGGTAATCTGTGTTAAATAGCAGTGACCAGCTTTAGCTGCACAGTGAGAATGTGAAATTCACAGAGAAACCCCGGGATCCCCCCACTGACATGACCGCTGCAGACAAAATAGAAGAAGTCTGTTGCTTTATTACGCATTCAGATTGTGTATCATGTTTTTAAAAAGTAACTATGTAATAAAGTAACTAATTACTTTTGAAAATAAGTCATCAGTAAAGTCGTTACTTTCTTGGAGAAGTAATGAGTAATTAGTAACTAATTACTATTTTCAAGTAACTTGACCAACACCAAGATGTGCTTCTTAAAAGATTTTGAGTGGTTTTGTCTTTTGATGTTCACCAGACCACAACCTGCGAATTTAAATAGATAACTTTCACTCCATTTTCATATTTGTAGTACAAAAACCAGTGACTGTTAGGATGGAAAGTTTATTGAACGCAATGACAATAGTGTAAAGTCTGTACTTCCACCAGTTCCTGAATGCAGCATCAGTTGCTAGAGAGCCGGCTGATGCATGGCAGACCCCTTCTGGCCAACAGGAAACATGCATGGACTACATCTGCCAGTGTGACCATAGACTTTATTACATCAAATAGTCCTGCTTTAAGAAAAACTGACGTCCATTTTTCCAGCCCCAGGAATCTATATATATATATTCAGAGAGACTCAAAGGGCCAAATATGTGATAAAAACACAATCATCAGAATAACTCTTTCAATATTGCAAATGTATGTTGCTGAGAATTCATAAAGTCAACATACAGAAATATTAATAGATAATCTTTTGCTGACTGGTTTGAAAAAACCAAACAAGCAGCAGTTGTTTACTATAGTGAACCATGAAACAAACATTCACAACACATTAAGTCAGCGTGACTGGAACTGTTTGTTGTGTGGGATGACTGTGGTGTTATTCAGGGTGCAGTTCTTATCCACTGTTCAGTTTAGAGATGCCATGTCACACTGCGGATCAACAGAGACCACACAGAGATCACAAAACCCGCTCCACACACTTTTTATCCTCAAGGAGAGTCTCTCTCTGAATCTTTGTCTTCTCCTGTGAAAAGAAGCCTTTTATCTTACCCTTTTTAATTCTCCTGTAATGAGGGTTGAAGCTAGATAAACTTCAAAGATCACACTCAGCCCCACCCACCACGGCACTTGTTAAATCCCCCCGAGCTCTAATACAAGACAGTAGAGTCTGTTCTGCTCTCACTATGTACACTCATTATAATAATCATGTATATTTATCAGGGACATTTGCATCCAGAGCATGGAGCTCTTTTTGTGTCACAAAAGAGTTGTACGCGATGCACACACTACAGCACAGATGAAATTAGTGCAAAAAAATAAGATCATATTTTTTAGACATTGCTATTTCAGATAACTGAATTATTTCTTTTTGATTATGCAAAGATCCTCAAAACCTCACTGAAACATCAAAGAAAGTATATTTACATATAGTCTACACAAGAATATCTCTCGAGAAGATAGAAGCCACATTTTATTAATATAGGGTTGGGTTCCTGTTTTCTTTTCATGCCACTTCATAGTCTTAGCTTCTTATCATGCACATTAAAAATCCATCCATCCATCCATTCGCTTCCGCTTTTCAGGGTCGCGGGGGGCGCTGGAGCCTATCCCAGCTGTCATAGGGCGAGAGGCAGGGTACACCCTGGACAGGTCGCCAGTCTGTCGCAGGGCTAACACACAGGGACAGACAACCATTCACACTCACATTCACTCGCACACCTAGTGGCAATTTGGATTATCCAATTAACCTATCCCCACAAGCTGCATGTCTTTGGACAGTGGGAGGAAGCCGGAGTACCCGGAGAGAACCCACACAAACACGGGGAGAACATGCAAACTCCACACAGAAACACTCTGGCCTGATGGTGGAATTGAACTCAGGACCTTCTTGCTGTGCGGCAACAGTGCTAACCACCGTGCCACCGTGCTGCCTCACACACATTAAAAATATTAAACATTATTGTAATCTATCACCCTTCTCTGGCTGCTTGCATGTACAACACAACCAATGACTGATCAAGCACCTCTCCTTCAGGTGAGTGGTCCAGAGACATCCAGTGCCCTTGGGTCCAAGCCGTTCTCAGGTTTGTTCCCCCGTTTTAAAAAGCCTTGTTATCCTTGTAAGGAAGAGTACTCCCTTACTTGTATTATAACTTGTACAGCACTTTAGGAGCACTTTATGTAACATCACACTTTAACCCTCTGGGTTTGTTCAAAATCACGACCCTTTCAGCTTGTTTGTGGCCAAAAGTGTCCACCGACAGATTAGGTTTTATTACTTTTATGGGTTTTTTGTGCCATTTTTTTTGCATAAAGCTTTTAACTAACTTCAGTTTTTTTCATAAATATAAAATAGTTATTACTTTTCACATTTTTAACCCTTTAAACACCAGTTTGTTTGTCCACTGCACTAGCTGGAAGACAACATTACATCTTGCAATTTTCTATAATTGCATTGCTACTGGAATTTCTTGTATTATTAATAGTAGAGTCTGGGGCATGTAATTGATTCACATGAACATTGCTTATAATGCATTGTTATTTTTGTGCAGGGAGAGCAAAAACATAAAAACTCCCTCTCAGCTTGTTCATGGCCACAAATGGCCACCCCTTGTTTACGTTTACAAAATGTTATAAAATTCATATATATTAACAAAAATTTTCACTTTTTTTGACTTGATTTTTTAGATTAGCATCAGTGCTGTTCATGAAACTCAAAATTTCATTCAAATTCAGAATTTTAACCCTTTAAATACCAGTTAAATCAAATAATCCTAGGAACTCATAAATGGAAAAAATTGTAAAACCCCAATCTTTTTCCAAATAAAACATGCCATCTGATTTATTTTCCAACCATGGTGGAGGTAGATGTATAGCAATAATTAACAGTATGTATGACTTTTATGCATCTTTGTTTTTTTGTGCAGTGACAGAAAAACATAAAAACTTCCTCTCAGCTTGTTCGTGGCCACAAATGGCCACCCCCTGTTTACGTTTACAAAATGCTATAAAATTAATATATATTAAGAATAATTTCCACTTTTTTGGACTTGGTTTTTTAGATTAGCACTGGTCCTAGTCATGAAAACCAAAACATAATACAAATTCAGATATTATACCCTTTGAAAAGCGTAGTAATAATATTATGTATTATTACTATGCTTTTGGGGGAAAATAGTAATAAAGTTCAGATTTTTTAGCATATGAATGATGCAGGTCATCATTGCAGGTCAGTAACAGTAACAGTAATAATGATTTATTTTTACTTTATTTTTTTTATTATTTTTTCTTTGGGGAGGGGATAAATGACCAAAAAGAAAATCACAAAAGGTGTGTTATTAGCCAGAAAAGCAATTTAATGACCAAATAACCACTGAAATGTGTGTCTTGCAGTTGTTGAGGTCACCAGCATGTGTCCCAGCTCTCCCAGCATCACTCTTCATTTGTAGGTTGTAGAGGACTCCCCCACTTCAGTGAAGCTGTTTCCGGTGGGACAAAGGCATCGTATCCCAAGACATCCAGGAGATTGGAGAAAAGAGCCATCAGCCATCAGTTAGTTTTCCTTCTACAACTCGAGGTGCCAACACCCTCTAAGTTATCCAAGCAATATTTGTGCCTATTGTAGTCCAGGATTGCTTCTTGCTTCCACGCATCCTTTATTCCCCGTCACTGACTGCTGGTTCCTTGTGTGTTGCTGTCAAAAGAAGCACATTCCTCCGTTGCTTTGGCATGTGGGATATCGCTGTGGTAGTTTTGGTGAAGCCAAAGACAGACAACAAAATCTTCCTCTGTTGCAACTGGAGGAGCTGGGGAGGAAGCTCTGGGTTGTTTCCCCTGTGCCAGTTTTCATCTGAGGAGTTCCTCTGCCAAGGTGACCAAAGGAAAGACGTTGTCCTCAGAGCTCCTCCGTCAGTTGGAGTCCGAACCCCTTTCCCTTCTTTACTTCCTGAGAACTTCCAGTGTTGTCATCCAACATGCTATGTATTGCTTTATTCTGGTTTAGGCTCACATCTCTACTTCATCTATAATCCTCCAATCCTCACACCTTCGCCTCCCGTGCAGGTTCGTAATGCAGGAAACTGCATACAGGCTGAGCCCTGGTTTGATACCAGTGGGCACTGGATTGTAGAGCAGTCTCTCTTCAGTGGTTTTCCTTTCATGAGGGATCCACTCAGTCGCCGGCTCCTCGGTCTCAGAAAATGCTCCTATGTTCTTTTCCATCAGCTGCTCGGCCTCCACCTCCATGCCCCCCAACCCCAATCTTCCCCCAAAGAAGAGGATTCAGGCACTGGCTAGTACTCTTCATCAGTGGTGATGCAATCAGCTTCTTTGGAGATTGTCCCCTCATCTTCTGGAGAGGAAGTTTCTTCATCTTGGGCAGATGACTTTTCTTCAAGGGCAGAGGACTGCTGCTGTCCTTGCTCTCTGACCAGATCATATAGGCAGTGATGACCTTCTTGCCATACAGCCAGAATAAATGATCTGGAAGCTGTTAGGCTTACTTACAGCAGTAGCTCTGTCTGCACCTGCATAAACTCCAGGACACGTTTACAAACAGTGTTTGTTGTTGTTTGCACTCCAGCTGCAGCTGCAGGTTTGAACTCTGTAAAATGTCCTGTGATTGGGGTTTTTTTGTTTTTGTTTTTAGAGTTAAATTTTGGGTATGGTGTCTTTTTATGAAAAATACAAGAGTAAAACTGCTTTTAACATGTGCTTCAAAGCTGAGTTTGACTGGGAACCTCAAAGCTCAATAACCTGCATCCACAGACACTCACTGCAGCCTATGTAATGTTTAATGCATCATTATTTATTCCAGTCTATCTTGCAAATACATGTTTGTGCTGCAATGTCATGCACAAACACAAACTATTAGATCCTTAAGATCAA